TATTGGATGAGTTGGAAATTATATACACTCCTTTTTATCTGAAGAGAAAGTAGAAAAAAAGTATCCATTTAATAGAAAAAAGAAATCATATTCACACAGTTGCCCTGAGCTTTGCATGAGCCAAGACTTCTCCAGGGGAAGACACGTCATAATGTATTTATTGGGATCCTTGCATTAATTTGAATGAGTAAGACTCCAAGATCTTCCTTTAAATAAAAAATAGAGGCATGGTTATCATATTTGCCTCCATCTGGGGCAGGGTGGGGGAGAACAAAGAGGGAGACAAGTCTCCACGTTCCCATCTAGATCCATTTTCGGCCCTTAGAGCAGTCAGGTAACTTGCTCTTAGAGCAAGACTGAGATGGAACATTAAGATGGGATAATTTGAGGGACATTTAATACAGGGGCTTTCTACAAAAAGTGGGCAGTGTGTAGAGAAGCCACAAGTGATAGAATAGTATCCCAAAGTTGTTAAGAGCAGAAGCAAATCATAATCCTCTAAGTATGAATAGGCAAGTGAAAAGAGTGTTTCCCCAGACCTCAGGAGAAGAGAGTCACATGGAGAGGCCGCTTTGACAGGCATTGTGACCATTGGTCAAGGTGCCCACCAAACCTTGGCAACACCACAGGGAGGAAAGTAAGAGAATAAATAATTTGCCCTTTCTCTGCTCCAATCTCCGAATAGGATGTTCTGCTCTTTGAAACCAACTGGAAGCCAGAAGGCAAGGGTGCCTGTTGATGAAGTCCATATAAAGATTAGTCCCCATTGGATTGGTGGTTACCAGAGGGGAAAGGGGGAGGGAGGAGGGCGAAAGAGATAATTTGGCACATGTGTGTGGTGATGGGTTGTAATTAGTATTTGGGTGGTGAACATGATGTAATCTATGCAGAAATAGAAGTATAATGATGTACAACTGAAATTTATACAATGTTATAAACCAATGTTACTGCAATAAACAAAAAATTTAAAAAAAAAATAAAGTTTGTTAGAAGGTGAAAAAAAAAAAAAGGTTAGTCCTCAGGGACACAATAGAATAGAGAAGGATGGAGCGGAGATCTGGAGAGGCAGATGAAAGACAGGCAGCACACAGCCCATCTCTGCCCTGCTCTGTACACTGGGAGGCTAACCTATATGGACTGCATCATCTATACTTCTTTGTTCTTATTCCTTCTGGTGGTGTTTAGTCAATGAAATTGGAAGTTAGGAGGAGAGAAAAGTCAGAGTTCACCCTCCTCTTTTCTAGTCACAATTTTGACAGTAGCTAAGTTCCTCTATCTAAGGCCTCAGCTCCTACTAGGCAGCTCACATCCTTGGCTACAGCTCTTGCTGCTACAGGAACACAGTTCCTGTCCCCGTGCTTAAGACTGAGGGGAAATAAAAGCTTCCTCCTGTTATTGGTTCCCAAGTGTGTCAACATCCCTTTTGGTTCCCGTGACCCTGCCCACATTTCTGTAAATAGCTCCTTCATTCATCTTCCTTCAATTAAACACGTTAAGACTGCCTTCTGTTTTCTTCTGCCACCACAAGTGATACAATAATGCTCAAAAGAATGCACAAAACTATGCATAAGCCATCAGCTTGCCCAGACTGGGTGGGATCAGTGTAAAGAGACTGAATCTTTTAGGGATACTCAGTTCTCTCTAGGTCAATAGATAATAGGAAGATAATCCATTCACTACCTTTCTCTAACAAGACAACTTAGAGTAGCAAGAAGTTATCCACTCCTGGGAGTGTTTAGCACTGGCAAGAATGCCGTAGAAGGAACATGAGCATCATTTAGGGAGTGGGGAGGGTTAAACTAGCTCGACAGCCTCCATAATCTATCTCAATCTTTAGAGTCTCATGTGCTCTTACTTTTGACAGTGATTTCAAAAACCAAGGCAGTGGGTGTCTTATTTTGAGTTCCCCCAAAAGCAGATGCTGATGTAAGGATTTAGATATTGTGAGAGAATGGGAAAGGGATATAGGAAGGGAGGAAAGCCAAGAAAATATGCATGGATGAATGGGTTCCTGTTACAGGGAATGGGGGCTCAATCTTTATGAGGACTTTCTAAGAAACAGATGAAACACACTTCAGGATTATCCTTCATTGGGGGAGACAGAGGGGACAAAGAGCTAGAATAATTATCCAGCAATACCCACCTTTCATTTGTTGAGAAAAATTCCTGGGGTATTAACTTCCCAGCACTTTTGGCCTGCCCACACCCAAGCATCATCTTCAGGAAAAGAGAGGCATTGGCCTGCCACATCCAAGCGTCCTCAAGAAGAGAGAGGCATTGGCCTGCCACATCCAAGCATCCTCAGGAAGAGAGAGGCATTGGCCTGTCACACCCAAGCATCCTCAGGAAAAGAGAGGCAGGAATTATCTTTAGACATAGAAACTGAAGGTGACTTCCAGAGTGGGCCAAGGGGATAGGGATGGGGCATCAACAGCATTTGCTACAGTAGGTTTGGACAACAATCCTCTCTCCTGTATGTCTCTTCCTTCTAGGAATTTGGTATCACTTCTGAGAAATCAATAAAAAGGTGGAAAATTCTGTCCTCTACAATATCTGGTTTAAGGCTGGTCCCAAAAGAACTTGGGCTTAGTCACCTACATGTCCACTTTCAGATGCCTCTTATTACTTCCTTCAATACCAGTTGGTTCATGTCATTCATCTTTTCAAAAAGTTGTCAAGCTATTTTATGGAGGTATATAAATTAATATTAAAGTTCATATGGAAAAAGAAACATGCAAAAATAGCCAGAAAAATAATGAAAACGAAAAAATTATGAGGAGACGCCAGCCCTATCAGACATTAAAACATACCATAAAGCCTCTGTAATTAAAACATTGTTGAACTAAAATATGAGCAGATAAACAGATCAATGGAATAGAAGAGAAAGATCAGAACTAGGCCCAAATACATACAGAAATTTAACGTGTGACAAAAATATAATTCCAAATCACTGGAGTAAAGATGGACTGTTTAATAAATGGTAATGGGACAACTAGGGAGCCTTTTGAAAAAACATGAAGTTAGATCCATATCTCACACCATACACAAGAATAAACTCTAAATGTATTAGGAATCAAAATGTAAAAAGTAAAATAACATACTACATTATTCATAAAAACAAAATTAATAGGTTTGGGGAAAGGAAGCATTGTGGTAGGAAAAATATATGTTGACACCAAACACCTACTTCTGGAGGAGAAAATAAATCCTATTTGGACCATCTACAAATTGCTTAAAAAAAAATTAAAACCATACAAGTACTAGAGGAGACCACAGGTGAATTCCTATTTAATCTTAGTTTTGAGCTTTCTAACAATGACTCAAACTCCATAGGTAACTATCTTAGTTCATTTGGGCTGCCGTAACAAAAAGATCATAGATTAGGTGACTTAAAAAACAAACATTTATTTCTCACAATTCTGGAGACTGGGAAGTCCAAGATTAAGGCATCTGAAGATTCAGGGTCTGGTGAGAACCCACTTCCTGGTTCATAGATGACTGTCTTCTCTGTCCTCACATGGCAGAAGGGGACAGAGAGCTCTCTGAGGTTATAAAGGTACTAATCCCATTTATGACAGGAACAGGAAGTACTAATCCCATTCATGACAGGAACAGGAAGTACTAATCCCATTCATGACAGGAACAGGAAGTACTAATCCCATTCATGAGGGGTCCACTCTAATCACTTCCCAAAGGCCCCATCTCCAAACACCATCATGCGGGGGATTAGGTTTCAACATATGAATGAGGCAGAGGGTGCCTCATTCAGTTGATAGCAGTAATAAAAGAAAAGATTGATAAATTTTATTACGTAATTTTTTTTTAATTTGTATGATTAAAAAACAAGACACCATAAACAAAGTCAAAAGACAATTGTCAAATTTGGAGAAAAGATATCACAGATGAAAAACTAATATTCCTAATATATAAAGAACTCTTAAAACTTGAGAAACAAAGGTCCAGAAATCTGATAGAAAAATGAGTTCAAGACATGAGGTTTGGCTCCATCTTTTCATCCTTAATACTTTCAATGTCCTTCCCCCACAAAGTGCTTCAGCCACTATTAGCCATACCCAAAATATGTCCTGAACCTTCTCTCCTCCATGCCTTTGCCCTCCTCCATACCCTCTGCCTGTAATAATGTTCTTTCTCTTGACATTTTACAAAGTTCTAGCCATTCTATCAGCTTCATTTGTTCACCCAGCAAGCATTCACTGAGTGCCTATTATATGTCAGTAGGAATACAAAGGTGAAAGTGTCATGGACTATTCCCTCAAGACACTCATGGCGTAGCACAGCAGTTTTTGTACATTTTGCCTGTGCAATTCACATGATATACATCAAGCCTACATTGGATGCCTGCCCATGGGTGTTTTCTGATTTTCTTTAGGCTCTGACTTAAATAAAAATAGAGTTGTAACATATAGCATGACCCAATTGGTATTTTAAAAGACTCATATACAAACAAATAAAAATAATAGAGAAATTAAAAAACAGGCTTAAGTTGATTGCAATTCTCATTTCACATGCTGTGATTCCCCTTTTGTCCTGCAGTTTATGGATTTCAAAATTCCACCTTCTGTTTGAAATCTTCCCTATTCTCTTCAAATCCAATAAATCAGTTTCTCCTCTGTTCTCCTGTGGGGGACTCTTGTTTCTCTACTGTGGCATTTATGTCACAGCCATGTACATTACCCCTGAGTGCCCAGTTCATTCCCGTGTCTCCCAGAGCACCAAGCACAACGCTCTCTTCTCCACACAGATACCATTAAACACTTACCCAACTGAAATGCGTTTAATTGTCTCCTTGGCCAAAACGGGAAGTAAATATGGGTGGGGAAGCTGAGCTCTAAGCAACTGGTGACCTGGCCTGCACGTAAGAGAAAAGTGGAGAGGACTTTTGATCTTTCTAAACATATCGTCCAACCGAACACAGTGCGCTCAGTCTCTTGGGGGAAGAACGAGTTGCCTACAGCAAAGAATTGAGAACAGGATCAAAAGAGACTTAGCCACTGGCAGAGCAAAGTGAGTATACTTAATCTAATGGTTTCTATAGATAACGGAGGGGTGGTGATAAAGTTTTTCTGCCAAATGAGACTTCTGAGGAATCTGGGTGTGGAGTGGAGCACAAGGCAAGCTTTATTGTACTAGCTTTATTTGGGTCTTTTCCAAAAAAGACAAGGAAAAAGAAAAGATATTTTTGAAACCAGACCAGAGTTCACAAGTAGCCTAGAAAATTGAGCAGCATGAGACACCCAATGGATATACACTGCACTGGAACCTGGGCTTCCCTTGAGGAGAATGATCTCCATTTAACTAACATTTATATGACTGGGACCTTGGGGAATTCAAGTCCACTCTCCCAGCTTCAGTTTTGTTTTCCAGAAATTGAAAGTATGGGACTCAGTGTTCTCCAAGAGACTTTCCAGCTCTGAAATTTTGTAATCAGATACTATTACTATATGCAAAGTATGATGCGAAGAACTATGAGAGATGCAAAAATGGAAAAGATGCACCTCTTGCCCTCCAGTAGAGCTTAACCTGTTTGGGTCTTAGTTTTCTCATCTGTAAAACTGGGCAGCTGTAAGGATTAAAGGAGATGTATCTGTAAAGTACTGACTGCCTGGCACTTCATAAATGCCCTGTAACTGATATCTAATATTATTTCTAAAAGAGGGTGAATAAACTCCTAGGGGATTGAGATGCTCACATGAGCTAATGAAGGCAAAAGTCCTTTTTCACTGTAAACTTTAGTGCATATGTGAAAGACGACTCTATCACGTTTATGTTTTAGCAGCATGAATTCAATGACTTCAGCAGGCCCCATGGCCAATTCTGCGTTTGTGATGACACCCCAAAACGGGTATCCTGTGATCCCAGGGGGCATGGCTCAGGTGCCCCTGTATCCAAGCAACCAGCCCCAAGTCCATCTAATTCCCAGGAACCCACCCGGTTTGGAGCCATCTGTGAGTGTGCAACCTACCCAGAGAGCCTTGAAAGAGGGCAAAGCCTTAGGGGTAAGTGAGATTTCACTCTGCAGGCCAGGGAGTCGGAGGCTGGAGTCTACAATGGCTGGAGTCGGAGGAGGGGGGAGATTTGGCAATACAGAAACTCCAAACCCAGCAAGTGGGGTTGGAACTGACCTGGCCACGCCAAACTCAGGTCTATTAGAAAGCTCGGCTGTGCAACATCACCAGGGCCTCAGTACGGGGCCTTGTATTTTCTGGCTTAGGCATTTTAAGAAAGAGGAAGTAAAGTAACAAAAAGGTAGTAAGCTTGGTCCTGTTCCCAGCATCCGTGTTGATCCTTGTAGCCACTGGAAGAAAGTGGGTCCAGCGAGCCACAAGGTGGAATTTAAACCCAATGTGATTGAATGGAGTCTTTGCCCAATAGACAACCAACAAGATAAGAGTTCACAACAACTGTCCCCCTGAAAGGCTGTCCTGGGTAGGACAGGGGAGCCCATTTCATTGTGTAGCTGAATGATGACAAGCATGGATTCTGATCCAGACTGCCCAAGCTCAAATCCTAGCTCCATCCCTATAGATGGCTTGTGGGAGTATCAATCGATACCTCCTGTGTGGAAGGCCAATTGTAACTACCAAATTTATAAAATACCCAATAATTCCATTTCTGAGATTTTGTCCCCCAGATATGCTTGTGCACGTGAGACATGTGATATATATGAGCTTACTCGTTGCAGCATGGTGTGTGATAACAAAAGAATGGAAACAACCAAAATATGCATTAATACAATACTGGTTAGGGGCCGGCCCCGTGGCGTAGCTGTTGAGTGCACACGCTCCACTGCTGGCGGCCTGGGTTTCAATCCCGGGTGTGCACTGACCCATCGCTTGTCAGGCCACGCTGTGGCGGCATCCTATATAAAGTAGAGGAAGATGGGCACGGATGTTAGCCCAGGGCTAATCTTCCTTAGCAAAAAGAGGAGGATTGGCAAGAGATGTTAGCTCAGGGCTGATCTTCCTCACACACAAAAAATATATATTTATATATATATATAATACTGGTTAAATCAATGTACGTATTGTATATCCAAAGAATGAAAGGTAGTAGAGCTATAAAAAGAACAAGGAAGCTCTTTATGTAATAATATAGACATACCCCAAGATATGTCATTAATGGAAAAAAAAATAAGGGGCAGATATTGCATACAATTTGCTACCATTTGTGCAAATTTAAGGAAATAAAATATTTGTATTTGCTGCCATGTTTGTCATATATGTATGTACAACAAACATACGTATGTCGGGGCTGGCCAGGTGGTGCAGCGGTTAAGTGCGCGCTCCGCTTCCATGGCCTGGGGTTCGCAGGTTCGGATCCCAGGTGCACACCGACGCACTGCTTGTCAAGCCATGCTGTGGCGGCGTCCCATATAAAGTAGAGGAAGATGGGCATGGATGTTAGCCCAGGGCCAATCTTCCTCAGCAAAAAGAGGACAATTGGCATCGAATGTTAGCTCGGGGCTGGTCTTCCTCACAAAAAAAATAAATACATAAAATAAATTTAAAAAAAATGTATGTTTATACATATATGTATATGTATGTATATATACTCTTTGTGCAAGACTATATGTGTATTAGTTTCCTAGGCCTGCACTAACAAAGTACCACAAACTGGGTATCTTGGAACAACAGAAATGTATTGTCTCACAGTTCTGGAGACCAGAAATTCATAATCAAGGTGTTCCCAGGGCCATGCTCCCTCTGAAGTCACCAAGAAACAATCAATTCCAGGCCTCTCACCTAGCTTCTGGTAGTTCCTTGGCTCATGGCCACACAACTCCAATCATGGCACACATGGCTTTCTCCTGTGTGCATGTGTCTCTCTTCACGTGGCATTCTCTTTAAAAGGACACCAGTCATATAGGATCAGGGGCCCACCCTACTCCAGTATAGCTGATATTACCTAATTACATCTGCAGCAGCTCTATTCCCAAATAAGGTCACATCTTGAGTTTCTGGGGGTTAGATCTTCAACATATTAATCTGGTGGAGGAGAGGCAGACACAATTCGATCCATAACAATATCCTAAAGCAACAAGAGATGAGCACAAAGATTTATCTACAAAGAAGTTCATTGCAGTGTTATCTATAATATGAAAAAATAAAAACAGTTTTACCTGTCCAATATTTCTGTTCCAAATACTCCACAGAACATCTACACGATGGAATCTGGGCAGGCCTTAAAAAACGTGTTTGAAGAATACTTAATACAGTGGGGATGTGTTCATGATGAAATACTAAGTTAATTATACAGAGCCATTTTGTATTATCAATGTATATATTCGAAAAGAATAGAAAATTATACACCAAAATGTAAGCAGTTGTTTTCTCTGAGTGGGGGGAAATTATGGGAAGTTTTTATCTCACTTTTATATTTTCCATATGACTTTTTAGACTAGGAAAACAAAAGATTTATTAAAATAAACAGAAGGCACAAAGGGGAGGCAGGATCCAGCTTCAGAAACAAAGGCTTCAGTTCGCGTCTCTCCTGCAGGCTGTCCAGATCCTGATCGGCCTGATACACTTCGGCCTTGGCTCCATTATGGGGACCGTCCTTTCAGGGTGCTATATAGCTATCTCGTTCTATGGAGGCTTTCCCTTCTGGGGAGGCATCTGGGTAAGTAATGTGGGTCACCCTGCAAGTGAATTCCCAGAAAGTGTCAGCGTACCCAAGGGCCACCTTGTCAAGTTGAGTAGCTTTTGCCCTCCAGAAGTTTCCCTCCAAGAGAGTACTCAAGTGTGAATCCAGCTCAGCCTTTGTTCACTAAGCGTATTAGTCAGCTTGGGCTGCCATATCAAATACCACAGACTGGGTGGCTTCAACAACAGAAATTTATTTCCTCATAGTTCTGGAGGGTTGAAATCCGAGATTAAGGTGTTGGCAAGGTTGGTTCCTTCTGAGGCCTCTCTCTTTGGCCTGTAGATGGCTGCCTTCTCTCTGTGTCCTCACATGGTCTCTGTGTGTCTGTGTCCTGATCTCCTCTTCTTATAAGAACACTGATCACATTGAATTAGGACCCACCCTAATGATTTCATTTAACTTTAGTCATCTCTTTAAGGCCCTATCTCAAAATACAGTCACATTCTGTGGTACTGGGGGTTAGGATTTCAAAAGATGAATTTTGAGGGGACACAATTTAGCCCATAACACCAAGTGACAGCCCTGCAAGGCGCCATCCACCCAGAGCAGGCACCATTTCTAACTGGGCCGCCCCAGAGGTGAGGGAACCTTCTTCTAGTTCATCAACCAAGAGGCAGCACCTTTTTCCAATTCACACAAAAACACCCATATGTAAAAACATGTATTGGGAATAACCCTCAACTGTTCAATGTAGGCCCATAACCCAAGCTCCAGGAGAAAAATATTTCCACCAATGGTCAAGAGTGACTGCCCAGCCATAGAGCAATTGTTAAGCCGTGGGGACTCAACCTAGAGTCCACAGATGGGCTTCAGAGTCCCTGTTTTGGCAAAATATTTGGTATGTTAGACGCAAATTTTTTTTTCTAGAAAAGTCCATAGCTTTCAGCAGATTCTCAGGGTGATCTGTGACTCCATAAAAGGTTAAGAACTACAGGTCCTTTCTCGTCTCCAATTTTATTGCCTTTATGATTCTTTTGCATTCTCCCTAGTGTCCTCTGCCCTACACACACTTCCACAGACACACACACACACACACAAACACAATCCCTTCTTCTCCTCCCTCTCCACCCACCCATCTCCTTTTTCTTCCTGCTGTTACACAGTCTGTCCCTTGACTCACACACCTATCTGTGATTCAAATGCAACTTTTCTGACAAATAGCAAAACTCCAGAGTAACCTAGATGACAGCCAAAGTCACCCTATCCCATGAGATTTAAATAAAATAGCATAGAGATATCCCCCACCCTCACACCCACACAACATCTGCAAAGTGGCAGGGCTTATGTTCTTGGGAGCATCTTTCTGAGCATCCTCTACTGAGGCTGTGGTCTTCTCTCTTTTCGGCCCAGACTCAGACTTGGAAGTCAGCCCCTATTCCTCCCCCCACCCCCATACCTGTGTCCCTATAACCAAATTTAATGGAGTTTGGGGCAATGGAGGGGAACAACACCACAGCCACATTGCTATTGAGTGTTTGAGTCTAGTGAGTAGTCTTAAGCGTCTGGCAGCTGCCCCGACATCTAAATGCCTTGCTGGCCATCTCCCCTTCTGCCAGGTCGCTCAGCTCCCTCCAGCCCTCAGGACCCTCCCCCCTTTTTTCTGCAGGGTGGTTTTGTTCTGTTACCTTCTTAACTCCTGCACTATCCATTTCCTAAAGATCATCAATGTCTTCTTCCAAAACAAAAGCCCATCTCCTTTGGCACCTCAAAAGGACCGGCAGGGACATCAGAAGTCCAGCCTTTTGTTCCCTTCCTTCCCCACCAAGTCTCTATAAATAGAAGGGTGTAAGATTGAGATTTATTTTTCCAGTTATAGGAAAAATGGCATTCCCCTTAGAAGGCATATGCAGCTAGAGTAAGTTTTCATTGTAAAACCATTTGCACTCCACGGCACACGCATCTACCCTGAGTGGGAGGGAGTATAGGGTGAGAGTTAAGAACGTGGGGTCTGGAGTCAACCTCCTAGATTTGATTCCCAGCTCTGCTACTGGAATGGTCTTGGGGAAGTTGTTTAAAACTCTCTAAGCCTCAGTCTGCCCATCTGTAAAATGGGAACAATAATAGTGCTTGATAAGCCATCATGCAGTTAAATAAGGCAAGGTTAAAAAAGCTCTTCATGTAGTAGCGCTCAGCAAAACTTTTATTAAACCGTAGCTGACGCCCTCTCAGACCACTGCGGATGATCCCAACATCCACTAGGCCTGCAGAATACCAGTGCTGAAATAAATGCATACGATCTACCTCAATCATCCTCATACTTGATGTTCAACATCGTAGAGATGCAACATTTTTCTGAGTAACTGAAAGGTATTCACTGAGATGTGTAGTCAGGCAAGGACTGATGTTGGGCATATAAATAAAAGCAGTGGGGGAGCAGGTAACCCCTTCCCTCTTCCCTCCAGGGCCCCCATGCCCTACGGCATCCTGAGATAAAGATGGGAAACCAACAAGATGTGCGTGTGGGAAAATGAAAGACAAGGGAAGAAGTGGCATTCATTGAGTATCTACTGTGCACGGGATCCACTAGGTACAAGTCATACCAAATGCCAGATACAAGGCATAAACTATCTCATGACAATGACACTTAGAAGACACGTAGTCGTTCCTATTTTTCAGAAGAGGAAATAAAGATTCAGAGAAATTAATAACTTACCCAAGATCACATGAGTTTCGAGCCAGAATTTAAAACCATGTCTGCTGGGTCCTAAAATCTGTGTTTATCCCACTTCACTGCCCCGTCGTGTGGTGCAAAACAGCTGACTCAGGCATTCGTTTCTTTATTCTTTTCTCCATGTTGAGCTGGAGGTCCCAGCAGAGGAACCCAGTGTGTGTGAGAGAATATGTGTGTGACCAGAATCATGGAAGCCTGAAGATGGGCCCTAACCTTTGACCTCTTTCTAAACCCCCTCTCTTCTGTGCCAGTTCATCATTTCAGGATCCCTCTCGGTGTCAGCAGAAAATTATCCAAAATCTTCTTGCCTGGTAAGTCACATCCCAAGACTGGCCCTCTCAGCTGGGGACCTATAGGAGAGAGACGCAAGGGGGAAAAGACGGTTAACACACATCCTTCCCTCATCCTTTTGCCTACTTGTAACCAGACACAGGGCACTGACATGCATCACTTCTACTCACATATAGGACCACGTGAACCTGGTCAGAGTCACAAGTAGGAAAGAGTCCAGAGTATTTGGGGGAGAGAAAGGCAACCCAGCCACCTTAGTTAAGGCTTCAGAGTGTGGAGACAGAGAGCGAGGGAATAGCTTCCCTAACAGGGCCTTACAGGAGGAGGTACAAAGCTCCCAGGGGCTCAGGGCTCCCCTCCAGCACAGCAGAGCACCAAGAGAGCAGAGCACAGAGCAGGCCTCCAGCAACTTCTGCAGGGAAGCCAGGGGAACCTCAGGCACCTGCTTGCTTCCTTCCCTAATGCATCCAGCCAACCAAGCTGAGAAAATCAACATGGACGGGGCTTTGTGGTCTCCCAGCAATGGATCAAGAAAGTACCTTTGTTTCTCTCACAAGCAGGTGTTCTAGGGTAAAGTGCCTCAGAGCAGTCAGGTCCCTCCAACCAGATGAAATCTGTTTGAAAATCTCCAAAGGGAAGCTCAAAATTCTGGCATATCTTTCTGCACATGGCCCAGAAACATGGAGAATCAGAGCCTGTTGCCTCCCAGGACACTGGGGCCAAGCCTCCTGCCTATCTCCTATGGGATAAATGGGTTGAGTGCTTCCCAAAGATCATGCTTGGGGACACTAGTCCCACGAGACGCTCTGTGAAGATGGTTAGGTAAATTCGGGGGAATCTCTACTTAGTAGTCCCTTCTCTATGGATTATGGAAGATCCATAATCCTTATTAAAGGCTCTGAGAAGTCCTGCAACAAAGATCCGTTTAACTTTGTTCAACTCCGCTTTTTTCAAAATTAATTTTCCCCCAAACCTTTTTGCACAGAACATCTCTTTACTTGCTGCAGAACTAGGTTCCGGGAATTCACATTAAGAAACGTTTGTTGAGTCTCTGCTTATCCCGGCTATGATAGTTTTCCTCTCCCACCCTAATCCTCTGTGTCTTCTTCAGCTGAATGGCAGCTTGGGCTTGAACATCGTCAGTGCAATCTGCTCTGTGGTTGGAATCATACTCTTCATCACGGATTTGAGTCTCGCCTCCACCTCTGCCTACACCGAGCGTTATTATTGTCACGCCTGGGGTGTGGTGAGTATGCCTCTCAACCCACACTCCTCTGGGCTCTGACTTAGCTATTTTTAGAAAACTGTTGGAAAAGACCTGACACCAAGCTTCCTCACCCAGCGCTGGAGGAAAAGGAGGTGCCGTCAGACTGAGAACAGAGTTTAAAATCCCTGACCTATAGTTTTATTGCTGTGTTACTTTAAGCGTGTGACTTTTCCTAGTCTTAGTTTCCACCTTTGTAAAACAGTGCCTATCCATGATGTTGGGAGAAGTAAATGCAATTACACATATAAGGCATATGTACCCACCAACCTTCGCCTCTCCTCCATTCTCGCCTCCCTGCCCATTACTACGGGCAAGAGGTCAGCAGACTGTTGCCTGTAAAGAGCCAGTTAGTAAATATTTAAGGCTTTGCAGGCCATCCAGTCTCTGTTGCAACCACTCAACCCTATCCTATAGCGCAAAAGCTGCCACGGAATATACATAAACAAATGAGCACGGCTGTGTTCCGATAAAACTTTTTTTTTTTAATTTTTTGTTTATTGCAGTAACATTGGTTTATAACGTGAAAATTTCAGATGTACATCATTATACTTCTATTTCTGCATAGATTACATCATGTTCACCACCCAAATACTAATTACAACCCATCACCACACACAAGTACCGAATTATCCCTTTCACCCTCCTCCCTCCCCCCTTCCCCTCTGGTAACCACCAATCCAATCTCTGTCCCTATGTGTTTGTTTATTGTTGTTATTATCTACTACTTAAGATAAAACTTTATTGGCAAAAATAGGCAGCAAGCAGGATTTGGCCGGTGGATCATAATTCGCCAATCTGTGCTATAGACCAGTGCTGTCCGATGGAAATATCATGTGAGCTGTGTATATGATTTTAAATTTTCTATTTGCCACATTTAAAAAGAAGAAAAAAAGAAATGGGTGAAATTAATTTTAATAACATTTTATCTAACCCAATATATCCAACGTGTTGTCATTTCAACATGTAGTCCTTACAAAAAAAGTATTAATTCCGTATTTTGCGTTTGAGGTACTGTTTGAAATCCAGTGTGTATTTGGTACTCACAGCACATCTCAATTTGGGACCAGCCACATCTCAAGAGCTTAACAGCCACATGAGACTCGTGGCTACCGAATCAAAGAGTGCAGCTACGGATGAGTCCCATGTCAACTCAATCTCTCCATCTGCACACAGAGCCCATCCTCTCCCACCCACTCAAGGTCATCACTGCAAGTTCTCCTCCCCTCTCCCTTACCTCTGCCTCTCTTCTGCACCATTAATTGTCCCCCTTTACTAGAGTTTTTCTGTCAGCATATAAACATGCTTTTCTTTCTTCCATCCTAAAAATCAAACAAACAAACCTTCCACTTTCCTGCTTTCCTGCCAGGTACCACCCTATTTCTCTGGTTCTCTTTGCAGAAAAATCCTTAAAAGAATTGTCTACACTCACTTTCTCCAATTCTCCCCTCTCCTAATTCTCTCTTGAATCCACTCTAATCAGACTTTCAGCCTCATTTCTCCAAAATCCTCCTCTGCTCAAAGTCCCCAGTTGTTCCTCCTCTTTGGTGGACTTGACATGGCTTCCAGGCTCCACCCTGGGGCTGGTTCTCCTCCACCCTTGCTGGTTGCTCTCTTCTCTGTCTCCTTTGCTGGTTCTTCTCTTTTCCGCAATCTCTTAGGCTCAGTCCTTGGTCCTCTTCTGTTTTCTCTCTACACTCACTGCCTTGGCAATCTCGTAGAGAAATATCTTCTCTAGGACAGTGACTCCAATGCACGGCTCCAGCCAAAACCTCTCTCCCAAACTCCAGTCTCTTGTATCCAGTTGTCTACTCAACATCTTGAAGTTAACATATCCAGATCTGATCTCCAGACCTGGAATATTCCCTCAGCTATCCCCACAGTTCCCTCCCTCCCTCACCTCCTTCAGGCCATTGCTCGGTAATCACCTTCTCAATGAGGCCCACCGGAACAACCCAATACCCGTACCTAAAGTCACAAGCATCAACCCACACTATCCCAGGATCCCAATTCTCCTTCCCCTAATTCACTTTTCCCATAGTCTTAGACATCTCCTAACAAACTCTACAATTGACTTGTCTGTTTCATTTCATGCTGACTGTCTGTCTCCTCCTACTAGAATATAAGCTTCATAGGGGCAGGGATGTTTTTCTGTTTCATTCACCGCCATATCTCAAATACCTAGAACCATGCCTGGCACATATCTGACACTTCATAAACACTTGTCAAATGAATACATGAATGCACCAGGTATGGTCTGTATTCTGTAAATGGTAGCCATTAATTGTTGTTTGCATTTGATCAAAAGGTCCATCCCAGGACTTTTCTCTCCAAGATTCCTAAGAAAAGCCTCCCGCCGGAGAACCTATAGACCAAGTCCATGTCATTTATCAAAAGTACCTTGAGAGGCCGGCCCAGTGACGTAGTGGTTGAGTGCACACACTCTGCTGCAGCAGCCTGGGGTTCGGATCCCAGGCAGGCACTCATGCACCACTTGTGAAGCCATGCTGTGGCGGCGTCCCATATAAAGTGGAGGAAGATGGGCACAGATGTTAGCCCAGGGCCAATCTTCCTCAGCAAAACGAGGAGGATTGGCGACAGATGTTAGCTCAGGGCTAATCTTCCTCACACACACACACAAAAATACCTCGAGTTCCTCCCCTCCCAGAAACATGCTATGGCTCCCAGTTGCTTTAGGATTAAAGTCCACATTCCTCAGTCAGGTATTCATTGCTCTCCAGAGATCTGGCTCTAACTCCCTGTGCCCCACAACTCACTTCCCTTCGAATCCCTCACTCTGACCTTCAGCTCCTCCCATCCACTGGGAGAGGAAGACACTGAAGAATACTTGGGTCTTTTCCTGCTGGGAAAGAACCAAGGAGGCATGAATTTCCCAGCGTAAGAAATGAGGAAGCCAGTGCTGGTTGAGGAGCTAAAGGAGGGGAAGATGGGGAAGAGGTTTAGAAAAGACTAAACCTCTGCAGCCCAGCAATGCCCTGGAGTATAGACATCAGTAACTTTTGAGTCAGAAAATTTGGCTTCTAGTCTGTTCCGCCAATATCTGATCTTAGAGGGAGAACTCCCCCCATCCTGGCTGCCCACCCTGCCTTCAGCCTCAGTCCTCCCATCTGACCAATGAGGGCTGAGCTTCATCAGAGCTTTGCAAATGATGACCCAAGGGATGGGACGCTCCAAGAGCTCAACGAGGATGAATCATTGCCCATCAAATAATAAATATCGAAGCTCTTGAGGGACCCCTTTTCTTTTGTGTGTGTGTGTGTGTGTGTGTGAGGAAGATCAGCCCTGAGCTAACATCCGTGCTAATCCTCCTCTTTTTGCTGAGGAAGACCAGCTCTGAGCTAACATCTATTGCCAATCCTCCTCCTTTTTTTTTCCCCAAAGCCCCAATAGATAGTTGTATGTCAAGTTGCACATCCTACTAGTTGCTGTATGTGGGACATGGCCTCAGCATGGCCAGACAAGCGGTGTGTCGCTGCATGCCCGGGATGCGAACCCAGGCCACCAGTAGCGGAGCGCATGCACTTAACCGCTAAGCCAGGGGGCCGGCCCGAGGGACCCATTTTCCATGGAAGGTTTTATTTATAAAAGAATTTTGTTGTTAAAAACACATTTGTAAAGGACCAGTAGAATGAGTCAAGGCTCTTCTTCCCTAAGCTTCCGAGATACATTGACTAAGAAGACACCATCATCCTGCCTTTCCCTTTGCCTGGAACACCCTCTCCTTCTCTCACCTCTCTAAATCTTCCAATAAGAATTAACCTCTCTCCTCAGTGCCCCTTAGGCACTTTTGGGGCTCTTTTATAGTTCTCACATAATAGACATGAATTATAGTCATCTACTTCTCTATCTGTCTCCCTCACTAGATTGTGCCTCTCAGGATGTTTTTCTTGGCCACTTATACCAAACAGATGTTTAATAAATCCTTGCTAAAGTGAGAGGGAGGAGAAGGAAATGTGCTAAGGAGAGGTCTCTCCAAAAAGGAGAATTCTCGGAGCAGTGGGCTATCACCAATGCCATTTTAAAAATAATAATTCACAAACATTTATTTGGTACCTACTCTGTGCAGTGCACTTTTACACTCATATATAATATCTCAGGTAATTGGAATCCACATGGCAATTGGAGTCATTCATCCCTTCTCCTTTAAGATTAAAATGGGTTCTACTTGGGGGCCAGCCCGGCGGCATAGTGGTTAAGTTCACAAGCTCCACTTTGGCAGCCCGGGGTTCGCAGGTTCAGATCCCGGGCGTGGACCTATGCACCGCTCATCAAGCCATGCTGTGGCGGTGTCCCATATAAAGTAGAGAAAGATGGGCATGGATGTTAGCCCAGGGCCAATCTTCCTCAGCAGAAAGAGGAGGATTGGCAACAGATGTTAGCTCAGGGCTAATCTTCCTCACACACACACAAAAAAATGGGTTCTACTCAAACTTTCTCCCCAGATGCAGTGGGAGGCCCCATTCTCCTGGGTATTCTTAGAGAATAGCTAGAGGACAGCTTAGATTTCTCCTGGTCCTTAGGTGACATCTACTGCTGCTGAACTATTCCAATTTCTGGATCCTTCACTGACTCTTTTTCCCAAACTAAAGACAGCCCGATTACTTCCCTCCACAAAACGCCACTGTCATAAGCCAAGAAGGTTGTCTCAGTAGCCAACTTTCTCTAAAAATGCAGAGGGATGATGGAGGTTTACATCAGAGCCCAGGAAACTACCAGTGACTGAAGATTAGACATCCTCGTTTTGTAAACTCTTAATTTCTCATAGGATGCTTTTTCTGCAGGTTCCACCTTCCCGTCATGTTGTTCAATCTTATCTTTCTCCTCTAACCATCTCACTTTTCTCTCTATGGCTTGTCCCTACTCCCAAATTTTTATTCACTTCCTACACAGAACAGTTTCACTGTTTCACTGTCTGACTCCAGAGTACACATCAGGTCTCATCTCCTTACCTGAAACAAGGTTATCAAGGTGTTTTCCTAAATAACGTCTCCTCTTCCCCTTGGAGGAGCACCAGTAGTAAATGTTAAAATAATTATTTTACTTGACCCTCCAAAAACCCAGTGAGATGTTTTCCCCACGAGGCTAGGGGGAAATGAGGTTAGGGGAGTTCCCCAAAGTCATGGCAATGGTCCACTGCAGAGCCACACTTTGAGCCAGACCTCAGAGTCCCAGGCCAGCACTCATGTCCTCCTCACCCATTCTGGTTCCAGACCCCTGGAATGGCTATTTCTGCTGTGCTGCTAATATTCTGCCTTCTGGAGTTCTGCATTGCATGCACATCTTCCCACTTTGGCTGCCAACTGGTCTGCTGTCAACAGAACAACGTGAGTCCTGGGGGCTCCTCAGCAGGTGGAAAATGCCCCAAAAAGGGTGGAGACTAGAGGGGTCTTCATGCTTCCCTTTCCTGCCCAGGAGTAGGAGGAGTCCCACAGTGTTTAGAGGCCTCTGTGCATGCCCAGTCCTTCTTACACCCTCATTCATGCTCCTACCTTGTGCCTGTGTTTTCTAGGTGGGCGTGGTCTACCCAAAGGTTTATGTGTCAAACCCAGTAGTCATCACAGAACCAGCAAACCCGCCATCAACTTATTCCAACTAGCTCCAGACCTCCAAATAAGCAAAGCCAAATGTTCTAGAAGCATCTTTCACTGGGACCAAATGAAGACCTCCCCTTCCTGGGCTTCTGAAACCCAGGTTCTTCCTTCCCTAACATTCTAAGGGAAATGTCTTTCCAACTGCATGCATCCTGGACTTCATTCAATTCAGCCTGGTAAATTGTGCTATTCCTCTCTTAAAAAGGAGACAGGAATTTAAAGTGGATTTTAGAAATATGATGATGTACACCTGAAAAAAAAAAATAGAAGTCTCAAATGATGGCATCTAAATTTACAAATCCTGCAATAAAGGAGCACATTTGCAATTAAAAAAAATTAAAATAAAATAAAAATAAAGTGGATTTTAACAAAGAGTTCCTCCCTAGGGCGTCCACACGTGGGGTCTTTGTGTGCACATATTCATGTGCTTACCTATGTGAGCTTGTGGGCTGGAGGAACGAATGTCTATATAACCCAAGCTTCATTCTTTTAATCATTCATTCATTTAATAAATATGTACTAAGCATTTGATATAGTCAAGGCTCTGTTCTTGGCAGGAGAAGGGTGAACACAACAAAGTCCTTGACCTCGAGGAACTTCTGGCCTCACAAGAGAGGACAACATGCAAGTAATTTTCTCTAACACAGGGCAGATGTGGGGATACACAGAGAGAGAATGGAGAGGGATATGATTTATTCTGGCAGGGATGTGACAAAGAACGGGTAAAGCAGGGAATAAGCCTGGTTGAGGAAGCAACACTTGAGTGGGGCATTAAGGGAGAGGAAGGGGTTTTGTAGGGCAATAAGGAACCACACTGTTGGGAAGACCTTTGGAGAAAGTGAGTCGTCCACTAAAACGATCTATGCTTTTATATGCTATTACCACTGATGCAATAGTACTCATGAATAAACACTGCTCTCGCCAAAGTCACCAATGTGCTCCATGTTGCCAACTTCAATGGTTCTGTTTCCATCCTTATCTTTCTTGACCTCTGAAGGATTTGACTCCACAAATCACTCTCTCCTTCAAACACTATGTTGGTTCTGATCCAGCTTCTCCACATCCTCCTCATTCTCCTACACAAGCTCCTCTCTCTCCTCTTGTGCCTCAAGTGTTGCTCTCCGATATGGTGCTGCCTTTGGCCCTCTTCTCAGTCTGTGTGCTCAAGCTCCTCTCCTGGGGGCTTGAGATGGAAATCTGAAGTGAGATTGTGAGATTCAAATGTGCAATCAGTGCACGAAAGCACTGAAAAGTGATTATACCACTTTCTGGTCAGGCCCTGGGTCCCAAGACTCATCATCCTCCAATCTGAGATTTCTTGTAAAATCCTGGTTGTCGTCCCTGCCCCTGTCTTCTCCACTTCAGGCCCTCCACTTCTCCGTTCCAAGTTCAAGTGCCACTTCCACAAGGAAGCTGCCTTAGGTTCCCACAGCCAGAAGCATCCGAGTGAATGGCAGTCTTGTGGTAGGAGAAGGGAGGGGCTGCACAATGCAACACTAGCAGTGATGACATTCAGAATTTAACTTCGAGGAATTTTTTTATCTTGACTGAAAAAAATTCAGATTTTTGTATTGTGGCTAAAATAATAGAACTGTGACTTTATGTTTCATAGGAGTTTATTCACACTTGCAACATTTACAGCTCCTCCCAACCTCCCTAAGAACATTGGGACATTACATTGGGAAAGTATGCTCAGTCTCTGGAAGGTGCATTATAATGTCAGGGGGTATGTCATGTGAAGGAAAGACATATGCTTCCCAGGACCCCCACCTCAATGCTTATGACCCTCACCAGCCTGACTTTTCCTTCCCAGGACTCTTACTGCCCACAGTTTGTACCTTCATATGGATTCAGTCTTCCTGGGTGCAGACATAATGTCTTCAACAGCTCCCAGCCCTCCTGCCAGGCTCAGGATAAGGCTTGGTATGTAGCAGCTATTCACTGAATATTTCCTAGAATGAAAAGTATCCTCTTATTTCCAGGAAAGAATCCCTTGCATATCCATTCATTCAGTCATTCAGTGATACAAAGTGCCTACTATGTATGGCAGGTGCTGGGTATACAGTGGTGAATGGAGCAGATATAGTCCCTGCCTTCCTGGTGATTACATGTCAGAGTGTGAAACAGGCAAGTCACGTGATCCGTTGAGAGACGAAAAGTGATGGGGAAAACAAATAGGATGCTCATATAGCTGCTACTGGGGAAGGGGAAGAGGGGCAGAGTTTCTGAATGGAAGGCTTCTCTAAAGAGGAGACGTGAAGGCAAAGAAATAATAAGCCACACAGAAAGTGCAGTAAAAACCGTTCCAGAAAGAGAGAACAACCTGTGCGAAGCTGCTCAAGCAAGAAAGAGCTTGGAGTGTTCCGGGAACTGAAAAGAAAATCCGTGCAAATGGAACATAGTGAAGGAGACAGAGAATGTCTCAAGAAGGGACTGGAAACTCAGGCAGCAGCCACATGAAGGATTTGGATTTTATTCTAGGGCTAAAAGCCATCGGATGGCTTTAGCATGAGAGTGATGTAATCTTGTTTATGGTTCTGAAAGATCATTCTGCCTGCTTTGTAGGGAAAGGATTGGAGGAGGGTGAAGGCAGGAAGCAGGAAGCCCAGGAAAAGATT